GCTCCGGCGGGGCGGAGACCAGGAAAGTGACTCTCCAGAGACTCGGGAAGTGCTGCCTCCAGAAACGCCGTCCCAGACCGCCGAGAGCAAAACCTCAGAGGAGACCTCACGTGACCAGGCTTTAAAGAAAGTTTGGGGGGAGGGGTCCCAGAAATCAACGAAGGGAGGAAGGAAAGAAAGGCGCTGGGTGGGAGCCTCAGGAGAGGCTCCGGGGGGCGGGAGGCTGAGCTGTCCCCTCCCTCCTCGCTCCCTCCCTCCGGACCCACCCCGGGAGCAGCAGCTGTCGGGATCCAGGGGCAATTTTTCAAACCAATTAAGGAGAAGTGCCTCGGTCGCAGAAGGGAGCGCTGTGGGCCTCTCCTGAGTCAGCAGGCACAGACCAGGACCTCTGGGGACGCGATCTGAGGGCTCCAATTGATCCCCCTTAAGGAAGAAATCACAAGTAGCAGCAGCTACTCTTTCGACTTTAAACTACTGAAGGGGCTGCCTGTTTTTTAAGAGGTTCTCCACCGAGCGCGCGGCTTCCCGGCTGCCTTAACTATCTGCAGGCCGGCAGGTTTCTCTCTTCATTCCCAGTGTCTCCTGCACAGGTCTCCTGTCCTGCATTCAGCAACGAGCCTCCTCGAAGTTGCATTGGGTGTGACCTCGCCATCCAAAACAAAGAGGCCCAAGAGTCTGCGGCTGAGAAAACTCACAAAGACTTTGTGCACGGTCTGAAATGGCCAATCCTCAGTTACAACTGAGTGGAAACAAAGCCGGGGAATAAAGCAGAGACCCAGAGCCAAACCACCCTCTTCGGTTATTCTGCTACCCTTGTAGGCCAAACCGCTCGATGTCCCCCAGCTTGTTTGGCATTGTGTGGATGTTTCTTCAGAAAAAAAAACCCGATGTACCTGATTTACCTCCGAGACTGAGATCAGAATAGGAAGCTCCGGGCTTCTAACCCCGCCCTTGGGGAAGAAGGTGAAGTCAGGATTGCTGTCCTTAGATCCCACACCCACCTTTTCTATCTTCCAAAACATGAAAGCAGGAGTGCTTCTGCTCTGCTATAAAAATTGGGTGGCAGCAAAATCCTCACTGACTGTTGTTTGTGAAAACACAAGTCTCAGTGCAATGTTATTCATATAAACATGGAACCCCAATAGGGCCCATCCTTGCCACCTTCCAAAAAATAATAGCCTGACATAAAGAAAGACTGAAAGCAGTCCAAACCTTTATGTAGTCCTTTGAGGGAATGCTAAGAAGGAACATTTGTTCTTAAGACACAGCAAAACATCTATTAAAAATTATGCCTCTTGATCTCCCCTTTCCCTCACACTCCCTGACCACCACCATGGCAGCCTCCTGAAGGCCCTGCCTCCGGCACGCTCGACTGTGTAAGATCCAGCCCGCAAGGCCCCTCCCTCTCTTCTCTCTCCTTCACTCTCCATTCTCTGCCTCTCTCTCTCTCTCTCCTCTCTCTCTTTATAGAGACAGGGTCTCCCTCTGTCACTCAGGCTGGAGTGCAGTGGCACAATCATGGTTCACTGCATCCTCAAACTCCTGGGCTCAAGTGATCCTCCCACCTCAGCCTCCCGAGTAGCTGGGACTACAGGCATGCATTACTCACCCTGCTAATCTTTTCATTTTTGTAGAGACAGGAGTCTTGCTGTGTTGCCCAGGCTGGTCTCAAACTCCTGAGCTCAAGCAATCCTCCCACCTCGGCCTCCCAGAGTGCTGGGATTGCAGGTACAAGCCATCACACCTGGCCTCTGCCTATCTCTTTATTCTGTCATCCATTTAACCTTTCTGGATGCTATAATTTTCTTTTTTAAAAAAATTTCCTAGCACCTGGGTTCTGCACAAATTGCATCCCAGAAACCAGGAATTGATCTAGCAAGAAAGTTGGAGGTGACCAGAGGAGCAGGGAGGAGGAAAGCTGTTCAAAGGTAAATATATACAGTTTTTTGTCCCTCCCTTGTTCGATCTTTGTGGGGGTCTGCCCAAGGAGAACATGTTTATTGCACCTCCCTGTGAAGCTTTTCCTCAGCCCCATACCCACCTTTGCCTTTTCTCCTTCTGGCAGATCAGGAACCCCAGAACCTGGGAGCAAAGACCCTGGCTTAAGGCCTTCCTCCCTCGCTCCTCCAGAGCCTTTGTGAGTAGCAGGCCGAGGGCGCTCACTGTGCTGTTTCCTTCAAAGCGGCCTTTGGCTGCTACATGGCCTGTGCTGCCAATCAGAGCCAGCATGGGACAGCTCGCCCCAAGTCTGAGAAGGCTGGAGGTGTCTCTGGATTGGCACCACCCATATTTGGGGCTTGTGAGAAATCAAGGGAAAGTGGCTAAAAAGGTTGAAGCAATCCCATTTGTCACCCACCCAACCACACCGAAAGTCAATCGGGGCATGGAGTCTATAGGCTGCACCCCAGCCTGGCTCTGGACGCAGAGGGAGCTGTCAGGGCTGGGGTGTGTGGACCTCATTGGCAGCGTCTGTGAACTTGATGCTTTCACATGCATCCTGCAAGCACATGCCTGACACGCCTTTGTCCGGACATTTCAGGCCACCATGTTGAGTAGAGGGAGGATGTGTTTTGGAGCCGTTCATGTTTCCAACCCCACATGCAGTCAATGTGGGGCGTCCACCTCGGGCCATGGCTCCCACAAAAGTGCTGTTCTGGACCTAGTCTCATGTTGTTGCTGTCTGTATTCATCCCTGACTGTAATATGAGATCCCATCATTGGAGACCCATGGTACGATGTCTAAGGAAAAAGGAAAAAGAACAAGCAGCATTTCCTTCTGGCCCCTCTTAAAACCCCAGAGTGGGTCATGCAGTTCATTTAGGAGTGCAGAGCACCCAGCAGTGTGCCCAGACTTCATTGAGCACTGCTGCCTATGAACTCAACAGGGGCCTGTAGCCTAGAAAATTCGTGCAAGGCCACAGTAGCCTGGCTAGATGCTGACCCCACCCTAGCAAGTTTGCTTGGGACACTCCGGAAAAGAAGACCACTGTCTACAGGCAGGGCCACTACACTCGCAACCACCAGAGTTTATCCAGTAAACGCTGAAGGATAAAAAGGGTTGGAGACAGGAGACAGAAAAATTTTTTGTTTCCCACCTAGAGATATAAGGAATTCTGAACAATTTTGCCATGCTGCCCATGGTGGCTCAGTAATCCCAACACTTTCGGAGGCCAAGGCGGGCTGATCGCTGGAGCACAGGAGTTAGAGACCAGCCTGGGCAACATGGCAAAACCCTGTCTCTACCCAAAATACAAAAATTAGTACAAAAGTCAGCAGGGTGTAGTGGCACATGCCTGTAGTCCCAGCTACTTGGAAGACTGAGCCTAAGAGGTGGTTGCAGTGAGCTGAGATGGTACCACTGCACTCCAGCCTGGGCAACAGAGCCAGACCCCATTTTAAAAATAAATAAATAAATAAATGATTTTGCCCAGATAGACAATGAAAAAGGACTGATACTTCAGGCAAGGGGTCTAAGTGCATTGTTACACATGGTTAGACAGGGGATGTCTAAATGTACTGTTGGGTCTAAATAGAGGGAGAGGCTGCGATTACTCTTTAAGTGCAAACCCCAATCTGTGGGATGTGGAATGGGAGTCTTTGAAGCCCAAGGAGGAAAAACCAACCTAGATATGGGGGAAAAATAAGAGGTAAATAAATAAATTACATGTCTATAATATTTTCAAATTTTAAAATGTATATATGTTTACATATACAAAGGTCCATAATTTAACCCAATTGGAAATTCAAAAATTTCAAATTCATAGACTTAATCAATGCAGAAGCTCAAATTATACTTTGAGATGCCACTAAGTTTAAACACCGTACCCCCTATAATCTTAGGAAAGTAAATATAAAATAGAAGAAAAATAGGTGTGGTTCACTTTAACTATACTCTTGCCTAAATGTCTCATAGTCATCGTAGCTGGCCATTGCCCTAAAATATCTGATATTGGGAATAAATGTGCTAACACAATGAATAATACATGTAAAGAATCAAATTTTTGGTATTTACAAATTGGCTTGATTAAAATGGGATCCCAGTGGTTGGGCACAGTAGCTCACACTTGTAATCAATTACCTAACACTTTGGGAGGCTGAGGCAGGCAGATCACCTGAGTTCAGGAGTTCAAGACCAGCTTGGCCAACATGGCGAAACCCCATCTCTACTAAAAACACAAAAAATAGCCAGGAGTCATGGTGGCTGCCTGTATTATAATCCCAGCAACTTGGGAGGCTGAGGCAGGAGAATCGCTTGAACCTGAGAGGCAGAGGTTGCAGTGAGCCGAGATTGCACCACTGCACTCCAGCCTGGACAACAGATGGAGACTCCCTCTCAAAAAATAAATAAATAAATAAATAAATAAAATAAATAAATAAAATAAAATAAAATAAAATGGGATCCCACAGATTCACAATTAAAATAGTTAATATAGCCTTATGTAAGTTAAAACAGGGCTTTCAAGGATTAAAACTTATGTAGTATACACCTAAAAGAAAGGAAATCAATATATGGAAGAGATTCTGCACTCCACGTCTAGTGCAGCACTCTTCATAATCATCAAAATTTGGCCAGGTGCAGTGGCTCACATCTGTAATCCCAGCACTTTGGGAGGCTGAGGCAGGCAGATCACTTGAGGCCAGGAGTTTGAGACCAGCCCTGCCAACATGGTGAAATATTGTCTCTACCGAAAATACAGAAAATATCTGGGCGTGGTGGCACACGCCTGTAGTCCTAGCTAATCAGGAGGGTGAGGCAGGAGAATTGCTTAAACATGGGAGGCAGAGGTTGCAGTGAGCCGAGATCATACCCATCAACAGATGAACGAAGAAAGAAAACGTGACACACACACACACACACACACCAGAATATTATACAGCCATAGAAAGGAATGAAATCTTGTCATTTGCAGTAATGTAATTTGGATGGAGCTGGAGGCTGTTATCCCAAGTAAAATAACTCAGAAACAGAAAATAAAATACTACATGTTCTCAATCACGTGGAACTGAAGAAAGTGGATCTCATGAAGATATACTCTATCCAGCAGTTACCAGAGGCCAGGAGGGGTCGTGGGAAGCAGGGACGGGTGAAAAGAGGTTAACGGGTACAAAAATACAAGTAGCTAGACACAGTGGCTCACACCTTTAATCTCAGCACTTTGGGAGGCCCAAGGTGGGTGGATCACTTGAGTTCAGGAGTTTGAGACCAGTCTGGGCAACATAGCAAGACTCCATCTCTACAAAAAACACAAAATTTAAAAATATATTTAAGAAATTAATGCTGACAGATCAATTAGATAGCCATGTATAAAAAGAAAATCTTGAAACATATCCTAAACTGCCCACAAAAATCAATTTCAGAAGGAATGTAGCTTTAAATGTAAATATTAAAAAATAAAATAAATTATTTTCATAACTTTGAGTAGGGAAATATTTTTAAAACAGATCACAAAAACCAATAGCTGTAAAGGAAAAGATTGATAAATTAGGCCACATTCAAATTAATAATTTTTATTTATCAAAAGACACCATCAAGAAAGTGAAGAGGCAAGTTTTAGTGTGGGAGAAAATATATACACAAATAATTGACAAAGGGATCACATCTAGAATGTGCAGAGAACTCCTATAAATAATAAGAAAAAGACAATAGAAACATGAGTAGAAGGCAGCATAGATAATTTACAAAAAAAAAAAAACCAAATGTGTTCAATTTCCTTAATAATCATGTAAATGCAAATTAAAATCAATGAGATATCACCACACATCCTCCAGAACAGCTAAAATAAAAGAGACTGATGGGGATTTCTGGCAAGATATCTGAATAGGAACAGCTCCGGTCTGCAACTCCCAGCAAGATCAACGAAGAAGATGGGTTATTTCTGCATTTCCACCTGAGGAACCTGGTTCATCTCACTGGGACTGGTTGGACCGTGGGTGTAGCCCACAGAGGGTGAGCCAAAGCAGCGCAAGGTGATGCCTCACCTGGGAAGTGCAAGGGGTCGGGGGATTTCCCTTTCCTAGCCAATGGAAGCCATGAGAGACTGTACCAGGAGGAACAGTACACTACCGCCCAGATACTGTGCTTTTCCCACAGTCTGCAACTGGCAGACCAGGAGATTCCCTCTGGTGCCTGACTTGGTGGGTCCAACACCCATGGAGCCCAGCAAGCTGAGATCAGCTGGCTTGAAATTCTCACTGCTAGTGCAGCAGTCTGAGATCAACCTGGGCTGCTGGAGCTCGGAGCAGGGAGGGGCATCCACCATTGCTGAGGCTTGAGTAGGCAGTTTTATGCTCACAGTGTAAACAAAGCCTCCAGGAAGTTTGAACTGGGTGGAGCCCACCACACTTAGCAAGGCAATGGCCTCTCTAGATTCCACGTCTGTGAGCAGGACATCTCTGAACAAAAGGCAGCAGCCCCAGTCAGGGACTTATAGATAAAACCCCCATCTCAATGGGACAGAGCACCTAGGGGAAGGGGCAGCTGTGAGCACAGCTTCGGCAGACTTAAACGACCCTGCCTGGCAGCTCTTAAGAGAGAAGTGGTTCTCCCAGCACAGTGTTCAAGCTCTGATACCAGACAGACTGCCTCCTCAAGTGTGTCCCTGACCCTCATGTAGCCTGACTGGCAGACACCTCCCAGTAGGGGCCAACAGACACCTCATACAGGAGAGTTCTGGCTGGCATGTGGCAAGTGACCCTCTGGGATGAAGCTTCCAGATGAAGGATCAGGCAGCAATCTTTGCTGTTCTGCAGCCTCTGCTGGTGATACCCAGGCAAACAGGGTCTGGAGTGGACCTCCAGCAAACTCCAACAGACCTGCAGCTGAGAGGCCTGACTGTTAGAAGGAAAACTAACAAACAGAAAAGAATAGCATCAACATTAACAAAAAAGGACATCCACACAAAAACCCCATCCGCAGGTCACCAACATCAAAGACCAAAAGTAGATAAAACCAAAAAGATGGGGAGAAACAAGCACAGAAAGGCTGAAAATTCCAAAAAGCAGAATGCCTCTCTTCCTCCAAAGTATCACAATTCCTCGCCAGCAAGGGAACAAAACTGGAGGAAGAATGAGTTTGAAGAATTGACAGAAGTAGGCTTCAGAAGGTTGGTAATAACAGACTCCTCTGAGCTAAATGGGCATGTTCTAATCCATTGCAAGGAAGTTAATAACCTTGAAGAAAGATTAGATGAATTGCTAACTAGAATAAGCAGTGTAGAGAAGACTATAAATGACCTGATGGAACTGAAAAACACAGCACAAGAACTTCGTGAAGCATACACAAGCTTCAATAGCTGAATTGATCATATGGAAGAAAGGATATCAGTGATTGAATATCGACTTAATGAAATAAAGCAAGAAGACAAGATCAGAGAAAAAAAGAGTGAGAAGAAACCAACAAAGCCTCCAAGAAATATGGGATCCCAGTGGTTGGGCACAGTAGTTCACACTTGTAATCCTAACACTTTGGGAGGCTGAGGCAGGCAGATCACCTGAGGTCAGGAGTTCAAGACCAGCTTGGCCAACATGGCGGAGAATCGCTTGAACCCGAGAGGCAGAGGTTGCAGTGAGCCGAGATCACACCACTGCACTCCAGCCTGGACAACAGATGGAGACTCCCTCTCAAAAAATAAATAAATAAATAAATAAATAAATAAATAAATAATAAAAATAATAAAATGGAATCCCACAGATTCACAATTAAAATAGTTAATATAGCCTTATGTAAGTTAAAACAGGGCTTTCAAGGATTAAAACTTATGTAGTATACACCTAAAAGAAAGGAAATCAATATATGGAAGACATTCTGCACTCCACGTCTAGTGCAGTACTCTTCATAATCACCAAAATTTGGCCAGGTGCAGTGGCTCACATCTGTAATCCCAGCTTCCAGAGATGACACTTTTAAGTCCAGAGCATGAAGGCCCTGAATCACCTCAACATTGTGAAACTATTGGAGGTGCTGGAAACCTGGGAACACTCTTCCTGGTCATGGCTGCTGCTAGTGAAGGAGAAGGTCAAGGCCCACTTACTGGGCCATGACCGCATGAAGAGAAAGAAACTAGAGACAAACTCTACCCGATGGGATCCACTGGGCAGTACTGCCACAAGAACAGGAGTGTTCACAGAGACTTAAAGCCAGAGAACCTACTTTTGGATGTTGACCTGAACATCAAGGTTGCAGATGTTGGCTTCAACAATGAGTTCACCTTAGGAAACAACCTAGATACCTTCTGTGTCAGTACTCCTTATGCCGTCCTGGAACTCTTCCTGGATCAAAAGTAGCATAGCTCTGTGGTAGATGGGGGCAGCCTGGAAGTTATTCTCTACCCCATGGTCATCAGGTCCCTGCCTTTGAATGGGATAAACTTTGGGAGCTGCAGGAGCAGGCACTGAGCAGAACATATCATATTTATTTTTGCATGTTCATGGAGTGTGAGAACTTGCTTTGAAACATAGTAAACATTGTTACATACATTAAAACATGTAAACTATATCAAAATAGCACATTGTGTCCCATAATGTATACTATTAATATTTGTCAGTTAAAATTAAAATTTTAAAAAGACACTATCAACTAAGTAAAAAAGCAACCCACAGAATGGAGAAAATATTTGCAAATGATATATCTGATAAGGGATAACGGAGTTTGTTGTTAACATTCTGGATATTAATCCCTTCATAATAAGCTTCCCAAGGCCGTGGGAGCCTACTCTTGCAAAAGAAAAACCCGCTGAGATCTCATAATCCCTTCATAATAAGAAATTAATATACAGAATGTACAGAGAATTCCTAACATTCAACAACAACAACAACAACAACAACAAAAAAGATTTAAAAATGGGCAAGGACTTGAATAGAACTTTCTCTAAAGAAGATTTACAAATGGCCAATAAGCATGTGAAAAGATGCTCAGCATCACTAATATTAGGAAATGCAAATCAAAACTACAATCAGATACCACCTCACATCTATTAGGATGGCAGCTATCAAAAAACCAGATGTTGGTGAGGATGTGAAGTTGGAACCCTTGAGCACTGTTAATGGGTATGTAAAATGGTGCAGTCACTATGGAAAACAGCATGAAAGATTGTTCAAAAAATTAAAAATAGAATTACCATATGATCCAGCAATTCCACTTCTAGGTATACACCTGATACGGTTTGGCCATGTCCCCACCCAAATCTCATCCTGAATTGTAGTTTCCATAATCCCCACATGTCATGGGAAGGACCTGGTGGGAAGTAATTGAATCATGGGAGCAGTTTATCCCATACTATTCTCATGATAGTAAGTTCTCATGAGATCTGATGGTTTTATAAGGGGCTTCCCCTTCGTTTGGCCCTCATTCTTTTCCTTCCTGCTGCCATATGAAGAAAGATGTGTTTGCTTCCCCTTCTTTCATGATTGTAAGTTTCCTGAGGCCTCCCCAGCCATGCTGAACTATGGGTAGATTAAACGTCTTTTCTTTATAAATTACCCAGTCTCAGGTATGTTTTTATTAGCAGTGTGAGAACAAAGTAATACAGTAAATTATTATTGGGTCGTGAGTTGCTGCTGTAAAGATACCTGAAATGTGGAAGCAGCTTTGGAACTTTTGGTAGTGAGTTGCTGCTGTAAGATTCCTGAAATGTGGAAGCAACTTTGGAACTTTTGGTAGTGAGTTGCTGCTGTAAAGATACTTGAAATGTGGAAGCAACTTTGAACTGCGTAACAGGCAGAGGTTGGAACAGTTTGGAAAGCTCAGTAGTCAGGAAGATGTGGGAAAGTTGGGCACTTCTTAGAGACTCATTGAATAGCTTTGATGGACACACTTATAGTGATATGGACAATGAAGTCTCTGCTGAGGTGGTCTCAGATGGAGATGAGGAACTTGTTGGAAACTAGGGTAAAGGTCATGCTTAGTATGCTTTAGCAACGATACTGGTGGCATTTTCCCCTGCCATAGAGATCTGTGGAACTTTGAACTTGAGAGAGATGACTTATTGTATTTGGTGGAAGAAATTTCTAAAAGGCAAAGCATTCAAGAGGAAGCAGAGTGGCCAGGCGCAGTGGCTCAAGCCTGTAATCCCAGCACTTTGGGAGGCCAAGATGGGTGGATCACGAGGTCAGGAGATCGAGACCATCCTGGCTAACATGGTGAAACCCCATCTCTACTAAAAAATACAAAAAAACTAGCCAGGCGAGGTGGTGGGCGCCTGTAGTCCCAGCTACTCAGGAGGCTGAGGCAGGAGAA